ATCATTTTCGCTGGAGATTGCCTATTCTTTTAGATTAATCAATTTTTGGCAATTATCAAGCAAAATTGATATGATGGCATTTAGTCATTTCCTTATAAGGAAATAGTAGTCATTCATTGACCGAGCAGCCAGTGGTACTCAAGTTACGCTTTTCTTCACTTCTTGGTCATCTGTCTTGGATCAAAGTGTAGTATCTGTATTCCTTATCTCAAATGGCAATTGCAATATAAGCAGTTTCCTTATAAGAAAACAAAAAGTATTTCTAAATTGAACAATCAATATTACTGTTGGTTGAAATTTATAAACTCTATTAAAATATTTTTTAGGAAAGTAGGTTTCTCAAGTATTTGCTGTTACTCTCGCCAGAATTGATGAGAGTTTCCTTACTAGACTTTTGTTTTAAGCAGTTTGGAACGTCAACATCTTGATTATTTCTTTATTTTCTCTTCCAGTTACATCTGTTATCCATTTTAGTCGTTGGTGCTGATGAAAGTCCTCATGTGATGTGGTTTGTGATTATTTCGTACAGCTTTTTAAAAAAAAAAATTTATTTTCAAGATTCTGGATTTTAGAAGCCGCCAAAATGTTTCCTTTAATACATTCGGAAGAAATAATTGAGTCGATATTGTATAAGACATCTTTGTTAAATAAATTAGTATTTATTGGAAAATTCGATAATCAGAATTTTAATGTTGGTGTTGCGAAGAGAAAATCTTTCTTATTTGTTACTTCTTTTGACTCCTTTTTAAACTTATAATTGCTTTTCTCTCTCCCTCTCTGTTTCCATATATATATATATATATATATATATATATATATATATATATTAGGATATTACACCGAAAACATGTGAAAATCGCTACACAATTGCAGTAGAGTGAACTGGCGGGTAAACGATTTATTTATAAATCGTTCATTCGCCAGTAATATACAATCGCCTGATGAGATGCATTGATATGCATCGAAACTTGACTGCAATTGTATAGCGATTTTAACATGTTTTTCGTGTAATATCCGAAAAAAATAATATTGCTCTACTTCGAATTGAACCCTCTTTTAAATTAAATGTTACAATTGTACTCTATTCGTTCTCATCTTATATATATATATATATATATATCATCTCAGTTACAAAAAGTCTTTGTAATTTACCCCTGAGGATGATCTTGAAGGAGATCGAAAGTATTTAGGTAGGAAAAAGCTACGGCACCTTATTTGATGAATTTCATCTTAACATCAAGAAACCGATTAGAGAACAAGAAAAGATGATTATAAAAATAGATACAATAAGTCTAGATTATTCAAAGAAACATGTATGCATGAAGATATGCTACCTAAATATAATGCTTATTAAATTTCTTTTCACTTTCCTTGTATTTCTGTTTGCTTTTGTTTTTCTTCCCATCAACTGCTTTTGCCGTCTCTTACCTTTTATTTCTCCATTATCCTGTTTACTGTTCGACGTTTCTCAGTCGCCACTTAACCTCGGGAACTAAAAGTTCAAGTTACAATGCCGGCAAATAACACGTTTCTAATGCTTTGGTAAACGATCCGAAAGTTATTTAAATTTTATGTTTGTTGTTTTTTTGTTTTTTGTTTCGGGCAACATTTTTTTGCGCGCGGGTACATAATCAAAAATAAGAAAAGAACTGCTAATTACTTAGCAGAAAATTAAGTTCTGGCTACAGTAAAATAAATAAAAATGTATTGATTTTTCTAGGTAAATAGGTCGCTTCTTCTCACGTCGAATTTTTATATACAGTGTTTCTCCTCTACGTTATTCATTATGTTCGTGTACTTGTAAAATATACCATAACTATTTGGAAAAAAATAATGATTACTGATCATCAGCCCAAGTGAATTCGGCCAATAATATAAATTCCTTTTCTGTGACGTTCGAATTCAGATTTGGACTTGGGAAAAAGTTCCATATTTAAATGAGATGAAAAATTGAAAAGGGTTTATTTTTATTTACCTCTTTTTTAACCATTTCACCCCAAGCAAAGCAATAATGCTACTAAGACTAGGGGTTTACAGTGTTATGAGAAAAAACAAACACAATTAATGAGAGAGAAATAAAAGAACTGGAACTAAGAAGACAGAAGATAACGATTGCATTCAAATTTTTGAAGATAAATGTTGACTGGGAAGGAAAAAGCCAGAAAAGAGTTCCACAAGCTAACAGTGCGAGAGAAGAAACTGTTAGCATAGAACTTACGGTTTTCAACAAAAGCTACTGCTTCTCCTACTGCTGCTATTCCTCTTGATGTAGGAATATTTCTTATGTCTTTCGTCTTACGGCCGAGTCTAAACTTGTAGGGAAATATTCTCCCTCACAACACTTTAGTTAATCTTTGCTCTTACCTCGTCTGATTTTCAACAAGCGATTAAAATATGTATGAGTAAACAACGTACAATCCAACTAAGAGGAATAATCGTTCTTATATAAGGTTGCATCTCTGTTGTCGTGTATGTGACGTTGTGACGACGTTACAGTAACATTGCAATCAACTATTTTCCTGACCGCAAACAGACCGCTCCCTCCACTCCCCCAGCAACGTTGCCACAATGCTAACGTTGCGTTGCGTTGTTGAAACATTCGGCACTGATCAATTATTTTTTTAATCATTTTAATCCAAGCAAAGGGAAAATACCACGAAGAGGCAAAAGGATCTACCAGGGGCGAAAGCAAATGAGATGATTTTCGAAGGAAGCGGAAACACAATCCTAAACAGGGAACAAGGGATAAAGCTCGACTCCTGTTCAAAAGAGCGAGGAAGAGTTTGAAATTTCCCATAATAATATGGATAGAGATTATAAAATTGCCTTAGAAATTTTTGTTTATTTTTTGTCTACCTTTTGTCCTTATTTTACTCGTTTTCCGAGAAACCCTGACTTTATCCGATGTCTGAATATTTGCACCTTTCATACATAGATTTATATAAGTGAAAAATACACACACACACACACATATATATATATATATAAATGACAATAGGAAAACTGTAGTTATTGCTGATACGTTTCGTCAATGTGGACTTTCTCAAAAGCAAAAACACGAAATAGAATTTAAGCAAAACGAAGAATGAAAATAACAAAAAACATATTCTTCCAGTTGCTAAGAACATTCTGTTTTTTGTTATTATTAGTTACTTTCTTTAATTAAATTCATTTCGTTTTTTGCTTTGAGAAAGTCCATTTTGAACGAAACGCGTCAGCAATAACTACAGTTTTCCTATTGTCATTTATATTTATAAATATTGTCTTTTCTACAGGTTAACTCTGAGAAATTTTCATATATATATATATATATATATATATATATTAATTGATGCAGTATATATAATATTATAAAGAAGTAATCGTGCAAGGAATTAATCTGCAAAAATGTAATTAATGGCAAAATCAATTCGCTAATAGATCAATAAAATATTAACATACTAACAACTCTCTGAATGACGCGATCCTTATGCTTAAAATTATGAGATGGATTAAATGTTCTGTTACAAATACTTTCGAAGAAATTCGCTCCTTCATCCTCAGGTATTAATATTGTCTTCATTTCAGGTAAATTTCAGGTAGATTTCCAAGAAAATAAATGTATTGCAAGCCGAAAGATTTTTTTGTTTGTTTTTTTTTTTAAGTGTGCTATTTATTAACGATACAATTTTGGAACGTGCGATGTCGCAACGCTAGATTTGTATTTTGAATATTTCAAGTGAGAAAAAATTTTTTAAATAGTAATGTGTCAAAACCACGAATTTTTTTTTGTGTTTTACATTAACTTTACTGATTAATTCTTTGAGTGATTACTTCTTTATAATATATATATATATATATATATATATAGATGACAACAAGTATCCGCAGTATATATATATATATATATATATATATATATATATATATATATATATATATATATACAACAAGAATCCGCAGTTGATCTTCCGTTTGCGCTCGATCAATAAAAGACACGTTGAATAAAAAAAAAGAAAGAAAAAAATGTTCGCCAAGCGTATTTCCATGGTTCCTCGAGGCCGACAATCTAATCATTGTCACTTCTTAGTAGAAGACCATCTTTTCACTTGGTAGCTTTTTTGCGTGGTTTTCATTTAAAATTTCATTATTTCCATCATTCATTACGTGAGCTAATGCACTGCTATGGGCTCGTAAGTGATTCTTAAGGCCAGCTTCACTTTTACAACCTCACTGACACACGTGGCAAACTGTTTGTCTTGCCTATGTTGGAAACTTGCCTGTCCCTGTGTAGAATCATGTGATTTTGAGTCCCGCAACTGACTTACAAACCTTATCACTTAACTCGCACGAGTAAGCTGCAGGTCTTTCAGGGAGGCGGGTTGCATTCGCATTTGTTTGCATCTCAGCTCTCTCTGGTGTTATATCCCGTGAGTGGCTAATAGCTCGAGGCCGGATTCTATTTCTCCCTCCCTAATGTTAGAATGTTCAATTCTCTTTCTCCTCAAAATTACTGCAGCATTCCCAAATCAATCTTTCTCCAGTCAGATCTCTCTGGTCCAGTAACAGTTTCCCAGTCTTCAACATTAACGCCAAGAGGCTTTACGTTACATTTAACTACATCCTTGAAATGTTTTCGGAGCTTATGAACAGGTCGATTACTTTGTACAAACACACCATAAAATATTCTAATGAATTTCTGTATTTATTTGACACTAGGGATCTGTTTTGTAGGCTGTACCTCCCCGCTGCATTAAAACGGTAGGATGTTAACAATAATTATTATCTACCTTGAAAGATTCTTTTTAGATAATATGGAAAATAAGCAAGACATAACGTAGTAGAATGTTTAATATCCTCCTTGATTTTTACTTGGGTTTCAAATTAACAGGCTGGCTGAAATAAAAGGGGTGACAGAAAATACTGAAAATAGTAAAAAACTAAAAAAGTGGGGAGTTTTAAGAGTAATCAAACACAACACATTATACATGCATACATTAGGTATACCCTAAAGATATAAGACCTACGTTGAAACAACAGTTCCCGTACGATCAACGAAATTAAGCAATGTCGAGCGTGGTCAATACCTAGATGGGTAACCGTTTAGGAATACCAGGTGCTGTAAGGTAGGATGTGCGGGTGGTGTAATGGATAATGGCTCGGAATTTTTAATCCGAGAGCCGAGTTCCAATTCAAGTTAGGTTCTTTATATTCACTTCTCCCTCCAGCTATAGGTCAGTAAATCTTTATTATCTCCAAAAAGAACTCTTACAATATTTTCTGGTATTAAATAACCTGCAAAGGTCGATAATCTGTAAAAAACAAATCAACTAATCAATGAAATACTGATTAACTACACGGGCATGCCTTTTAGATTTGTTTGCATTCTCTGGAATATAAATGTATATAAACTACCTTAGCCACAAAGTGAGGGATCAGTTTATATATTGATTGTAATATAGGATTGATCCCTTACTTTATATCCATATTATAATTTCTTTTCTTTTTTATCAGATTCCGATTAAGTTTCAATCTACCTCTTCTCCCCATTTATGGATTAATTAATAAGACTTTTATTACTAAACCATTATTATCTCAAAAAAAAAAATCATACAATCTAAAACTATTTTCTGTCTTTAAATAATAAAGGGTTGATAAGACGTAGAAAATGAATCAATCAATTGTCTGTTTGAAGCTTAAAAGTGCCCAGATGCGTAAGAAATTCTTATTTTACAGGTTTTCGGCAGATAGATGTCGGCCATCCTAAAAAAAAGAAAGAAATGATTGTAAGGTGACATAAAGAAGCTTAACAAGTTTTATTTCAGAATCATCGTGTTAAGAAAAATGAAAGACATGGTCGAAAAGAGATTAAAAGGCGGAGGGAAGCAATAAACAAAAATGGTTAGAATTAAAAAGAAATGACAAAAGAAATGCGTAAGGAAAGTGGGCAACGAATGATGGGAAAAAATGAATGAAAGAAAAAGAAAGAAAGAAAGAAAGAAAAAGAAAAGGAAAAGAAAGAAAGGCGTATGAAAACAGAAAATAAAAAAGAAGAAAGAAAATGAAAAGAATAAAAATAAAAAAGCAAAAAAAAAAACATCAAGAAAGGGAAATGAAGACAAAAATTCAGAGGCCAATAACGAATTAATTAAAAAGAAAAAATATCGAATTCAACAGATCGAATGCTAGAGGACAAATTCTAAGAAGTGTCAACGTTCTTTTATGTGCCATGTACTTTTCAGGACGAAGTTGATCATGGCTCTCCACAACTTCCCCGTCTTTTGCTGGTCTAAAAAAAAGACATTTAACCCTTTATTATCATTTGTGACAATAAATCTTTTATTATATAAAAACCGCGTCCCTAAATCAATGAAACATAGTAATTCTAGAAATCTTTCAGTAGAACTGGACATGACTACAGAAATAATTCGAGCTCTATAGAATCTCAATAAAAGAAATGGTTTTTCCATTTCTTTGGTTCTATTTTAATTGGATATGCTAATGTCTACATGTCTATAGCGATAAACTATCGTTTATTTTTTTCATCTGCGCTTATTTTCATGAAATATATTCTAATTACTTCGTCTTCATTAAGAAACATTTATAAGATGTTTACAAAATGTACTTTAATGCAGTACAAGGCGCCAGGTAATTTGCATCTTTTAGGGCCTTGTTCTGGATTAAAACATTACAAGGGCCTGAAAAGATGTCATGCAGTACAAGGTCCGAAAAAAAGATAAATCTTCTTCTGTGACCTGTTAGGACGTGAAAGATCACGATTTTACACATATACACACCCAATCTCATGTAGTTTTTAGTAAGTTTGACCTTCTTATCATCCTGACGTTTTGCTATCCATTCGCATCAACTTATCGGGCAGCTGGCTTACTGCCACCCGTCTGCCTCATGTCCTGTGGATGTCAAATTCTCCAAGACCTTCTTCCTCGTTATACTAATTTCAGCTGCCTTTTTCTGATTTGTCGTATAAGTGTTCTTGTGATTTCCATTTCCCTTAAGACTTCCTCGTTGTTTACATACTCCGTTTATGTAATTCTCATCAGTCTTCTGTAGAAACAGATAGATAAATATGAACAGACTGACATAGATAGATAGATAGATAGATAGATATGAACAGACAGAGATAGATAGATAGATAGATAGATAGATAGATATGAACAGAGAGGGATAGATAGATAGATAGATAGATAGATAGATAGATAGATAGATATGAACAGACAGGGATAGATAGATAGATAGATAGATAGATAGATAGATAGATAGATAGATAGATAGATAGATACTCACATATCGGAAAATTTATGTTCAAATTTCCTCCGAAAACGGGGAAAATAGAATACAATGTAGAAGAATAAAGGGAGGACTAACAAAAAAATTACGCTGACTGCGACACGACTTCTTGTATCACAAAACAGTTCGCCGCTCTTTTCTTTGTTTCTAACGAATTTTTGTGCATTTCTTATTATTTTGCTTGGCTTTTGGAATTCATCTTTCGCTGTTCCAATGCGCTTTCGGATTTCGGTGTTGCATTTTCCATTGTCTGTTTAAATACTTCCCAGTTATCTAAACTTGTTTCATGTTAACCTGCCAGTAGTGTGCTATTAACAAAGATTTATCAAATGCTTCATGAATATTCGATAGTTTTGTGGCAGTCTCGATTTTCTTTAAGTGAATCAACACAAGCATATCTCTTTAAATTTATCTATAATATAATATTGCTTTAATATGGTTTTAATTGACTTATTTTTTAAACATTCCTTTGACGTGTTGTCCTTTGTTTGCCCTCCTTTCTGCCCCAATTAAATTCCAAGCATATTTGTTAAACTATGTAAACTAGAAAGAAAGAAAGAAAGAAAGAAAGAAAGAAAGAAAGAAAGAAAGAAAGGAAATGGTGATTTTTGCAAGTGATTCAATGTTGGTGTCATCTTGACAACTTCTAAACTGACTCTGGGAATGTCTTAACGCGTAATTTGAAACTGTGTTTCTGAGTTTAGGGTTCTTTTAGGTGTCAAGTTTCTTGCAAAAGAAATTCGCTTTTTTGTTTGCTGCTACTTTAAAAGAATTTGTACCGTGATTATAAAATTAGGAAATATATTTTATAAGTTATAAGAATAAATATCCATAATTCATTAACTGTACATTTTCCCTAGCGTGACTGTGATTATCGGCACTACTTTCATTCGCATATTTAGTAATTATTGTTGTGAAATTTCCTGATAATTTATAACGATTTCACCCTAAGTAAGGCGGGAATGCCACTAGTACGGGAGTGGGGCTACAGAGAGTGAAAGTGAGAGGAAAAACTGCGTATATTAGGGACAGAGGAAAGGATAAAATCTGAACGGGATTCAAAAAGATAGAAGATGACGATTGACGTCGCATTTACATTTTTGAAGATTGTAATTATCAGGGAAGCAAAAAAACGGAAGGGGGTTCCACAGGCACAAAGTGCGAGGAAAGAAATTGTTGGAGTAGAAGTGGCGGTTGCATTTAACTAATTCAACATTAAAAGGGATGGGACCTAACTGCCAATCTAGTAGCACACTTAAACTTACACCTTCTGCGCAACCAGAGAATAAAGCTCGTCAGAGCAGTTGCTATGAAAATACTTGTAGAAAAGACAGAGGGAAGCCACGTCACGTATGTGAGAAAGTCATTGAAGTCAGGATCGGTCAAATTGCAGATCCTTCTTTGGATTTTGTCAAGAACCACAAGATGAGTAGCAGGAGCACCAGGCCAGTTATGACAGCAGTACTCAATGCATGGTCGAATAGTAGATTTGTAAATGTGCAAGATTGACTCTGACGAGAAAAACCTTCTGGCACGACACAGTGACTCAACTTTCCTTGCAGTAGATGCAGGTATTAATTCGATGTCGTCGTTCAACTTTAAATCAGGTTGAAAACCTGAGGCCAAGAAGAGGCAGTGTGTTGCTCTCCATTAGTCTAGCCTCAGTCATGCTAATGATGGACAAGAAAGTTTCACTATGGTGCTTAAATGAGAGCAGTTTCATTTTGGAGGCATTAAAATTTACAAGCCATTTCCTGCCTCAGTTAGCCACTGATTGGAGATCCTTTTCAAGAGCAGTTAACTTTGTCAACTCTAACGGATTTGCTATTGAGACAGAAGTAGATGGTAGAGTCATCAACAAAAATGTCTACTTGGGACCTGATGACACCAGGAGGATAATTGATGAAGCCCCAGAATAGAGCTTTGGGCGGGCACCCGCGTTCGTGCGAAAGAATCTGGAAGCGAGTCCGTTCAAAACGACCTTCGATATATCTAGAACGACATCTTGAGCTTCGGCGTTATTATCAAGAGTTTGATATATATATATATATATATATATATATATAGATAGAGAGAGAGAGAGAGAGAGAGAGATAATATTAGTGGTCAATATATATATATATATATATATATATATATATATATATATACATACATACATATATAAATTTAAGAGGATGGAATCGTAATCACGATCCAAAGAATTGATCGTGATTACGATTCCAATGTAATAAATTATAACCCTGGAATATTAGTGCTTGAGCCTTTTTATTATATATATATATATATATATATATATATAAAAGAAAGAACAGTAAGATATGTAATCCGGTGTTCTTATTGATATTTTTATTTTTTACAAAATAGTGCTCAATGTAAATTTACAGAGCATTAATATTATAAATTAACTGATTTAAAATATGGTTTTTTGCTACACAGTAATAACCATGTTTCAAAAATGGAAGCTAAAAACTTTAAATTTGATTTTGTAATTAAATTAAAAGCATTAGTTAAATTTCATCCTCAACCGAATTATGTCTGGCAACACAAGCAAGAGAAACCAGTCATGATGAAAACCAGTCAAGATGAAATGGAACTAATGTTTTTAATTTAATTACAAAATTAAATTTAAAGTTTTTAGCTTCCATTTTTGAAACATAATTATTACTGTGTAGCCAAAAAACCATATTTTAAATCAGTTAATTTCTAATATATATATATATATATATATACATATATATATATATATATATATATATATAACTTCAGTGATGGTCGTTAGCACATCAGCGGTAGATCTGAGAAAACGGAAGCCAT